TCTTCCCTAAAGCTCCAGACTGGAACACCCAACTGCCAATTCAACATCTTCAGTTGCCTTTCTAACAGGCACCTCAAACTTCACTGTCTAAAAGAGAACTCCAGGCCTGAAGACCCCCACCATCTTCCTTCTTGCCCCAGTGTTCCTTATTCCCATTGAAAGACACCACTATCCACCCACGTTGATCATGCAAAAAACCTAGGAATCAGCCTTGATTCCCCTTTTCCACTCATTCCAAAGGGACGGGTGCTACTTTAAAATACAACCCAAATGCAACCATTTTCCACCTTCACTGTTACTTCAGATCCAAGCCACCATTGAGCAAATCATTAGCCTCTTGCCTCCTTACGATGTATTCTCCAAATTGCAACCAGAATGACCCTACCTCATTGCAACTCAGCTCATGCAAATCCCCTCTCAAAACCTCCCAAGGTCTCTCAGCACAGGTAACATAAAAAATAAACTGCCTGACCTGGAACAATTGGCAACAGATTAGCCTTTGTGCTACGGATGACAAGAAATATTTCCAAAGGCAAGGAAGTCCTCATTGCCACCCCGAAATCAGGTGACTGTTACTGCTTATGCTTCATAGTCAACTCTGAAAAGCAGTGAGGAATCAAGGGCCACTCATTCCTAAACTCAAGAGTCTTCCAAGAAAATACTCTCCCCCCTCACCTAAACAGACCTCCACAATCACCCTGGAGGCCAGGATGAAAAAAGAGACGCTTGGCCTTTGACCACTGTCTGTTTAAATTCCTAAAGCAATGTGATTGCATCTTAAGTAGGAAAAAATAAGTCGCTAAAATAAATATTAAGTTTTGAATATGTTACATCCAATCAGAGAACAGCTACCACTGTGAAAGGTTATTTTGTATCTATTTCAGACTGAAGTTGATCCTTGCCCACATGACTTCAACTTGAAATGTGCACCGATGTATCCAAAGAGTTATTAGTGTGTTACATAATTCCCCCATAAATTTTCATTTTAAATGTATAGGTCTTTGTTTAAATGACCTGTTGTCTGCAAGTTTTCAAACAATGCTTCCCTTTGTGTTCCCAGGCAGTATAGGAAACAAGGCATGTTACTGTTTCCATTCCTCAAACATACTGTGACTCACATTAAATACAAAATCTTTTCTTGCAAATTAGAAACATCTAGAAATATATCCCACTACACCCAGCCTCATAAAAAGAAAATCACCTCCAGTATTTACTTAGGAAAAGTGTCTAAGGTAAGTCAATCGCTGAAACTTTTACTTCCACCTACACAAGCTGGGCAGAAACGCTCACTGCGCCCTCTGCATTTGACACCTGTCTTCAGACAGCCCCTCCCTACTGGACCTCTCCTTCCCGAAGCCAGGAGACAGCAGAGGCTCTGTGCCACTCAGGCCCTCCTCCTAAGCTGTGGCTATTTTTAGGCCTATGGCCTCTCTCTGAGTTCTAAGTTGGCCCTAGATATTCATGAGGCAACCTTTAGAGAGAAACCCTTCAGAAGCCAGGCAAGTCCCAGGAGGATTAGCAACTCTCTCCTGCTAACACAGCAAGAAGCCCCTGAGCACGCAAAGCAGAATCCCTCCAAGGACAGCAGGGTATTGACCTTTGTAGCCCTCCCCACCCACGGCCCTCCTCCGGCCAGACCAGCACCAGGCTCCCCTTCCAAACTGGCCGGTCCACAGAGTGCCTCTAGTTCACCAGGTTGAAAAGAAAAATCAAAGATGAAACATTCCCTAATCTTATGATACTTTCAACCCATGTGCCAGAAAATTTGAAACAACTCAGTGATGAGATTTTTTTTTCCCCCTAAAATATCATGTCTGGCAGCAACATTAAGATTTAAGATTTGTGTAACAGCCTTGGAAAGAGGTTGCTGTTGATAAAAATATTCAAAAAGAATTTAGTCACCTTTCAAAAAAAGAAGAGCATACTCAGACAGTGTAGTAAGTTAACTATCCCCTTGTGCTATTTAAAAATATAACCATAAACTGTAACATCTGTAACTGGAAAAGGCCTACCAGAAACACTAAATATGTCTGATTTTAAAACTCTACCCCATCTACCGCTGCACCTCTATAAAAGCCAACTATAGTAACATGAATTTCACCAGAAATGTGCGGTTGGTTTTTCCATCTCACTACTGAAATGAAGTGCAAGAACCTCAAACTAGGTTTGGCTATTTTACCAACTGAAATTTCATGGCAGAGCACATCGAAAAAGGAGAGGGAAAAATATATTTACGTATTTCATCTCATACCTTTCCTCCAAGAACATCACAGCATAGCAAAACCGATCTCTTCCATTCATCCCCAACTTGCATCTTGTAAAGGATTGTGCATCTTTTCTGAACCCACCAGGTTATGGTATCAAAAATGCTTGCTCTCCAGATCCTTGCTGATAACCCTAAACGAAGACCTCAGGACAACCTTAAGGGTAACACGTTGGCCCCAGGAGCTGAGAAGACAGGCTGGCACAACCCAGAGCTCCAGGTCCAAGGAATAACGAAGACTCACTCGCTGGTCCCGGCACGGCAGGGAGCCTCTGCTTATTGGGAATCTCTGGCCCTGAAGGTGCGTGAGTTACCCTCACCTGTCAGGAACCCCACCTCCACGCACACTGGAGTTCCAGGATGGCGACACAGGGGCGGGAATGTGCCCAGAGAACGAAATAACACAACACGGACCCCAGGAAGCAGGAAACTCAGCCAAGCCCCCTCCATTGCCCTCATAGGCAGAACCACATCTCACTGCTCCGGCATCGGCTGCCTTTCCGTGTTTCTTTGAGGGGATTTCCCCCTTTGGGATCTCAGAATCTGTCCTCAATAGACTTGGAGGAAGAGAGGGTGCACTTATTTTTAAAAGAGAAAAAAGCATTACATATGCATATTGAGCTACAGAAGAATGTGGAAATTCATAAACTCGGCTTTGTTTAGCTTTATATTTCTACAGCTAATAAGTTTACCGCAAAGTCTTTAACTCAATGAAAATGATCCAAGTCTGGTTTCCAATGGTAAAATGGCCTGTGACAGCATTTAAAATCATTGGAACATGAAAGTCAATCGGGACAGAAACCTCTAAACTGTTACATTCAGCAACAGCTTCTCCGCAGAAGCAGTGCAGTAACACGCTGACTCTGTCCTTCGCAGCAGCCTGCAGCTCAGTTGTAGCCAACACATCAGGACAACCGAGGGTCAGACCACTGCACCCACGCCCACAGGTCCATGCGCCCCAACAGCATGACAGGCAGTCTCAGGGTTCCAAAGCAGAGACGCACGCAATGAAGATTTGCACTTAAAAATGGGAGGGAAACACTCTACTCATGCTCACTTCATAAATATTTGTGGCATTCGATAGCCCAGCTTTTTAGAGTGAATGATTCCAGAATCCACTCACACCTTTCTCCAAATGATTCCAAGCCCTTATAAAGTATTTTAATCAGAAGTTAAATGAAATACCATTTCTCTTCTTGGACACTAACGTCCCAGTTCAGCTGTAAAAGCAAGATGGCAGTGTGATTTAATTCATCCACATTTCCAGGCGAGAATAAATCTGCTCCCCACCATTAAGTAAACGTAAGACATTTTGGTTAGCAAGATAAGCCTTACCAATTTCCTTACAACTGTTCTCTTTACACTAGAAACTTCAAAAAAAAAAAAAGGGTATAGTCCTTTATGTGATTTTTATTACATTCACAACCTCCGATTAGCTACAGAAGCAGGAACCGATACAATGGCACTAGTCCCACAGAAAATTACTGGCTACAGAATGGGGGGCGGGGGGCGTTAGTTACTTGTGCACCACCCTGCCAACTCCTTTCTCCCTGCTGTAAAGTGACCTTGTGCTACAAAAGCTGACATTCACTCAACAAACATTCATTAATGGCCTACCACACACCAGCTGCTCGAGTAGGGGCAAAAGAGAGTCCCTGTCTTCAAGGAGCCTTCAAGGAGCCTTTAGTGCAATTAAGAAGGCAAGACAGTACAAGAAATAATTACAAAAACTGCAAAAGAAGAGGCGACCAGAGCCTATGGGTCACGGCGGATGGGCTCCCTGGCAGGGAGGCTTCCGCGCGGCTCCCCGAGGAAGATGAGGTACGAGGAGCAGGCAGACGAGTGCTTCTCAGCCTCTCGGACTTTATAGACTAGTAAAACTTCCCCTCCTCAAATCTGGAGACACAACACAGGAAAGCCAGCTTTTAATTTTGCCACTAAAAACACGTCAGACAAAATAACTTTTTACAACTATCAACAATTATAAAAGGACACTTTTACTATGACCCACACTTCATAAAAGGACATTTGTTCAACCCAAAAATGAAGGGAGTGCGTAACGCAGAAGGAAGAGCATTCTTCTAGTTTAGCTTATAGAAATTTAGCTTGATGAAAATTTAACACATTACATATGTTTTTCCATTTCGCTGTATCACGGTGGACACTTTGTTCCCGGGCTCCCTGGTTTGGAGATCCCCATTCGGGGCTGCTGGGCTACGTGAAAAGGGCAGCCAGGGAGAGGAGGCAGGGAGGACAGAGAGAAGGGGGCCACCAGATGGGGCAGGGAGGGCAGTCTCCCGATACTCCAGGAAAAGCAAAGAGGAGGACCAGAGAGAAAGACACATAAAACAAGTGCTGCGAGGTCCAGTCACTCAGAAAAGGCCCAGGATAGATCAAGGAAGAGTCGCTGTGTACTGACCCCTCCTCTGGAAGCCCCAACGGGGCCACGGAAGCCAGCACACCCGCGGACAGAGCCACCTGCAGCCCAACCATGAGGAGCCGTCTCAGCAGAGGCCACACCTGGGCCGGGCAGCCTCAGCCACTGCCTGGTATGCTGGTGCCATAAATAGCTGCTCCGGGACCCGGTGGCATCCCAGATGTGGGCGCACCAGGGAGAGGGGGAAGCAGCCCTTGGGAGGAAAGAACCGCCCTGGGTAGGAAGTTTGAACTGGTAACTGCTGAAGTTAGGGAGTGTGTTTAGTAACTGGCCCTTACATGCACTGGGGACATCGCTCACCTTCAGGAACATAAGAAGCACACACAAAACAACGCGGTTCAGGCCAGGACACGCCGCCACGGTTCTCTGGATTACTTAGGAACTCAGCTCCCTCCCACCAACTCACACTGTTTCATACATACTTCAGAGAGAAAAGTCAAAAGAGGATTTAAAAAAAAAACCCTTTTTCCCAATAAAGTTGACAGGCATTGCAGAGCGAGGCTGCTTTAAGAGCTGGAAAACTGAGGCTTTTGACTGTCAGAAGGACTTGTGAGCGGGAAAGCTGTGGCCACAATGTTCAGGGCCTCAGGGGCTGACAAGGGGGGACTGTCTCTCACGGACACGTTGTCCACTCCTACCTGTCCAGCCATGGCCAGCGAACTGTGTGAGGGCCAGGAGGCAAGAGCGGACAGCAGCTACCTCTTTGGTGGGTGAAGATAACAAAGTCAACACACAGCATTTCAAAGTCCACAGAGTGTTCTCACAGTCATCCCTGCAACCAACAGTCCGTGGGACAGACAGGTCCCACGGCCATCACAGCCTCCTCCGCCTCCTCGCCTTTTAGAGATGTCAAACTTGATATTCTCAGAGCTCCAGTACCTTTTCCAAGAAACAGAGTTAATAAATAGTCATGGACATTAAACCCAGTTCAAATGTGCCATCTTGATCCCCCTTCCCCGCTCCTTCCCACGAAGAAAACCTACTACCTGTTGGCAGCAGGCGGGCATGTGCTATTCAGGAGGAGCTCCTGCGTGCACACCGCAGCCGGCTTACCTGCCTTGCGCAGGCCAAAAATAACCTTGGCCACATTCTCCTCACCTGTAAACACTGGTAAAATAATAACAACATCTCTCCTAAGCATTGTTTTAAGAGTTAACAGGAATTTTGGAAACTCTCTAACTCACACACAGCTGTTAGTTGCTACTGTTAAAATGGGAACAGCCTTGTGAAACAAGCTTTACTAGTATCCTCATTTTACTTATGACCAAAGTTTAGCAACTCGTTCATAAGGTCAAGGGAACTTTATGGGGTAATGGACATGATAGGTAGATAGATAGAGATAGACAGACAGGCTGTGTTGCCTACATAAATAAGTTATTTGTCAAAATTCTCATAATTGTACACTTAAGCTAGATGCATCTCATGGTACTTAAATTTTATCTCTAATTTTTTTCCATAGATCATGTGCCCAGTAGACGGCAGTACGTATTCCAGAACACATCCATGATTGCACACTGGAACTTACCAATGTTGTTCTTGGCCCTCGTTCTGTAATCCACCTTCCAGCTAGGTCCTTCATACCCAATTTAAAAACCTGTAATGTTGACTACGCCTACTAACTACCATTTTTTTCTGATCTCTGGATATTGAGCATGCCTTACTGATGCAGAATTTTATGTTGGACTGTTACTTCCTGAATATAGGCACTTAGACCATCCTTGAGGAGTTGGTTTCGAGCCATGACCCTATAAGCCATTATAGCCATAGACCCCACACACCAGGGGTCTACGATCCTAAACCAGAAGACCTGAGCATCTAAAATACTCTCTAAATCAGCATCCCTTCAACATAATATCTATTTCTGAGCAACAGAACATAAAACATTATTCTATGTAGTCATACAGAGAGAAACAAAAATTCTTGCTTTTAAGGATATTGCACCATATTGCAGATAGTTTTCAGAATTTCATCAAAAAGTAAGCTTTTTCATGAAGATCAGTAAAAAATTTGAGTCAAAACAATAAGACTAAGCTCTAGGATCTTACTGAGCCAAGACAGGACTGTCCTCATAAACGTAAAGAACTAAAACCAAACTACCACTTACACGCAGCACCTACAGGGCACCATCAAGGGTTGTACAGTTGGGCTTAAAAACAAAAAAGTGATGGAAAGGCTCTACATTTTGTTTGTTTCTAAATCACTTACTTCTAGGTAAGGAAATTGCCCAAAAGGCAGCACCCCTGTTTTGGGGGAAGCAGGTTGGACTGGGTATGCGGGGCAAAGTGAAAAGCTCAACTAAAATCTTTTTCTGAAAGTGTCAAATAACTATGAACAGCTCCTTGTTAGAACCTTTCAGGCAGTTGCCGTATTTTTTCCAAGACCACTTGTCTAAAAGGAAATAATTTTCCATCTGAATCATGTCCAGGGCAAACGAAAAACCTCGTGTGGGTGTGTGCGTGCGCATGCAGTTACGCAAGTTGGCTGGCACCTCTCACTGTATCTCCCAGCCTTCACTGAACATTAAACTTCCTGTACCCTTTACTTGAAAATGATTACCTGTGTTAGTCTTTCCACTGGCAAATACAAGTTCCTTCACAAAGGGCAATATAGGCTCACATCTAACTTGCAGCAGCAGCCGAAAAGAAAAGCCAGCCTACGGAGTGGAGTTTTTCAGGTTCTAACACTGTGCCTTCCATGGAAATCACTTTGGCAGTAGAGAGCTGTTGACCTTCAGGCTAGGAACCATGATCACTATCCAGGGTAGAGCTACAGTTTTACAGCACATTCTCTTCCCAGTTCTCACTCACACCAGGCCTCGCCTTCTAGTTAAATTTCTACCTGGGATTCGCTCCACTCCCCCAAGAATTACCTGCCTCCATGCAGCTTAATATAAGGAAATAGGATTCAAAATTTCTTGAAAAATGTTCAGGAAAGTAAATATTAGTCTCTATTCAACATGCATGACCTTGGACTGCTAACTGCAAAATGGGTACATTCTACAATGTACTATTGTACAATCAAAAGATTGAAATGATTCTTCCGATAAAATTTCATTTGGTTCTTCTTGAAAAAAGCCTGAAAACTAAAAAATCACACAGAAATGTCATATATCATTGTAATGATCTGTAGCTGTCAATTTTCATATGAATGCTAGTAGTTTAATGGCTTAAAGGATTTCACATTCTGTTTTATGTTCTGTGGTTAGATAATAGAGAAACGACAAATCATAAATCTAAGCTATGTCATCTGAAATGTACCATATCCAAGCTAGTGCATACCTTTGATCCCATTTCGGCACCAATGTGAAGAAAATTCTAGCAACAGCAATTTATTACGTCTGACGGACGTAAAAGCAGTCAAGTCACAGCATCACACTGGGAGCAGGCATGGCCTGGGGGAGGAAGCCCTGGCCTTGTCCTCCTTCCGTAACTTAGCACAACAGAAAACAGCGACCCAAAGGGGTCCGGGCCTGGCTTTCCTCATGGATAAAACAGGGCTCACTCAACCCGCCCCGCAGAGCTCGCAGAGTTGATGCGGTAACTGACTGAAAACGTCCTTCATGTCATATTGACAAGGCACTTTCCAAAACCATATGGAGTTACTATTTCACTTTGCTTAAAAAATGAAAATTCAGAATTGCCTTAGTATGTAAATATATGAAATAGTCACATCTTACAATCAAAACGCTTAAATATAAATGTTGGACCAAGCCACGGTTTAAACATTAGAATTGGGGATGGTGGTACTTTAAAATCCACAAGGGCCTTCTTTATTGGTTCAAAGTGATGACTCAAGTCTGAGTGCTTTTAGAATGTGCTGATAGCAAACCAGCAACATAATTTACAGACTTCAGCAAAGATGAAAGTATCTGCTTTGATTTTTTTTAAAAATGCAGCTCAAAAATAACAAAATATCAGCAACTCACTAAACTCAAACCCTCAAGAAAACCAAGAGGTTACAAAGCTGGAGTCCAAGAATAAATAATCTCAGCTGTTACCGGTACACACCAATTCTTTTTAAGGAAAAGGGAAAATTATTCAATTCCAGCCACCTATGCCGGTCCAAGCAACACCTCCACCAAAGGTGAGCGGAGGAATTTAAATGACACTTCCTAGCCACCCATCAGAAAAGGATTAAAAACAAGTAGCAAAGGAAGGTTATTAGCATTCACTCACTTTCTTCTCTGTGCCTGACACTGCGCTGGAATAATCCCAGGAAACAGGTATCTTGCCCTCTGTCCTGATGAGGCCAGCGGTGCAAAAGCAATGACGTGACTGGCCCCGACTCACGCAGTGTCACATACAGGAACCCAACTTGGTCTAACTTAGAAGTCTGCACACACTCCATTACATTCCTGTACCAAATGTTCTGGAAACCAGTAACATTTCTCCCAGACCTATAACCAAGTATGTCTGCAAGGTTTCATAATGGTCCTTAGAGCGAGCAAAACTCTAGCAACATGCCAACATGTCTCTGTTTTATTATTCCAATTTCAATTTAAAACAAAACAGGAGGCGAGGGAAGAAGCAATACCATGCCATGTACACTTCTATTTATACAATATAAGTAGAAAACAATTTTCATTTGACTACCTATAATGTTATAAACTTTAAATATTTAGCGTAACCAGAGATACCCAACATTTTCTACTGTAATAGTTATATCTATAATACAAAATCGTTTAAGGTTTTTTAATAAAAAGAGAATGCAGGATTTTTCCTATCACCATTTCCTTTTCATTGACTAGACTCACTCTTCTTATCTCAGAATAAAAATGAATTAGTAAATCCCTCTGCATAATTGTCATAAATATCTCCATAAAGCAACATCAGAAATTTTTAAGCATTAAACAAAAACTTCCATACTTGAGTATTAAATTCAATAACCAGCAATTCTAGTGAACCATCAAAAAGTTTTCCAGAAATGCAAAACTACTGAGAAACACAAATCTTATTAATGTAATAAGAGAAAGAACAATCCCAGACTGAAAACCCATCTGAATTCCTCTTTAAAATGTAAATACATATTTCTCTAAACAAGAAACAGCCCAAGCCTCCATTCATGAGCAACTGTCAACTTGTGACTGTCTGAGTAAATGGAGAATGTCATGAATCCTCACAAGTGGAACTAATTCTGTCCAAGTATTTGCATATGGGCATGCTCGGTACTTTATTGAAAACAGAGCTGTCACTCAGAAGGAACAGGCACCTTACACCCCAGAGCTCTGCGTTAGCACAGCTACTAACGGCACCGCCTGGCACCGGCTGAACTGTCTTTCTCTCTCTGCTTTCTGCGTGTCTCACCCTGTGGGAGGGGGCAGGGCACGAGGAGAGGACAAGAAGGACAAAGAGGACAAAGTCAAGGGAAGCAGTAAGGACACTACTGCTTAAGAGACTTTCTAGTAGCTGCAACCAACTGAAGGAAGAATTTCAAACGCCACGCTCTCAGAGTTCTCGATAATTTATCCCAGGCTACATCTGGTGCAAATAATTCTAAAAGTGCAAACGTATCCAGCATCGTAAGGTTTAGACCCTATTCTTAACATACAAGATGTAACAAAAAGACGTTGGGAAAGGTCACTAAAAAGATTATCCAGAGAAAGTAATGAAACCACAGATTG